GGGAGGGAGAGGAGTGTTCTTGGTTGAGGCTGGAGTGGCCACCAGGGCACCCTGGGAAGGCTGGAGGCCCCCTATTTCAAAATAAGTGTCTACACAGCACTTATTTTGAAATAGCTATTTCAAATTTGGCATTATTCCTCGTGGAATGAGGTTTACTAAATTCAAAATAAGCACTCTGCTATTTCTAATTAAATAGCGGTTTGGCTGTGTAGATGCTAGTCAAGTTATTTTGAAATAATGGCTATTTCAAAATAACTTTGCTGTGTGGACATACCCTTCTACCCTGACTTCTTCTTTTTATAACAAACTCTCTGCTCCAAAGACAAAACTGCAAGCAATTTTTATTGTCTAGATAGAAGAAATAAGCTATTATTTTGCCTTTGTTAAGTGCACTAGGATGAAAGCCATTTTTACAGGGAATGGAGTGAACTGTGCACTTACCTCTCACTCCCCAACAAAGGGAAACAATCTGCAATGTTCCTGTACAAATGGGGGGAGGGAAGAACTGTAGCTCCCCCACCCTGTCTAAATGGCACCTGGGAGGTAGGAGGCTTGAGGCTGGAGCAATCCCAGATGGGGGGGCAGGGTACGTCCTAAGCCAACCCTTTTCACTTGCCTTGTGATTCTGTCTCTTTTCTGTATGGTTTTATGCGACCGCCCTCTTCTGCACAAGCAAACCGTGACCTTGCTTTAAGATCCTAGCTCTTACCATTTAGGAGACATTATTTTTATGCATCCCCCATACAAATCAAGAAGCTCTCTCCCACCCTACACAACCAAACCCTGACCTTGCTTTAGGTTATGATAAAAGGAAGCTGAATACCAAATTTGGTGGTCCTAGCTCTTACAGTTTAGGAGTTCTTCAACCAATGGATGAACAGACAGACTTATTCACTCATTCACAGACAAATTCTCTCAACTATATAGTAGACAATGAGATGTTATTATGAATCAATTGCTTGCTACTTTGTTTTTAAACTGAAGCCAGGAGATAGCTGGCTTAAATTTTC